ATCCGCCATTCAATTTTATAATTACGAAATTGCTAATGGAGCGGCGACGCTCCTCGCCACTCCTGGTCCCGCCTGGGGACGCTTCCGCATTTTCTTTCGGCAACAGAGAACGCGCGAGCGGATTTTCGAGCGGAACCTCGAGCGTGTGTCTTATTGTTCTTCGAGGTGACAGTGGATGGGAGGTTGTGGATTTCGATTAAATAATTTCCAGCGTCTTCTTATTCTTTCTTCTTTTTTTTATTATTAATTCTTGAAGCTTTCGAATTTTTTTTCATCCTTATAATAATTAGCTTTCTCTTCTATCAAGTTTCGTTTTAGTTTACTTCGATATTTATCAAATAGTAGCAAGTATTGTGCTTATAAAAATTGTTTTGAATTCGTAATATTTGATAGATTATATTATATTGTTCATTGAACAATTTAATAATAATTTGAAGTATTATTTTACGATTTCTTTTCTGGCGTTTTAGAAATCCTTATTATCAAATTCTTGGAAATATTCGTAATTGCGCTATAAAAAGATTTTAAATATACGCGAGAAGAATAATGGTGGATGTAAATAAATAATTTAATTAATAAAACATCAATATATAGAACGACGGAATTTCTTAGTTATCTAATAACGAATTAACCTTTGTGGTTTCGAATTGCGCAGTAAAGAGCAAAGTATAGGTGCATCGCGATAAGCGATAATTCCGCGACACGTATACACAGCGCGATAATCGTTATCCGATCGCGAAACTTATTATTACGTAATCCGTCGTTTCGTTTGCCAACGGAACACCGCCGGTTTATACCGAAGTCAAGAGGGTTGATTGAACTTATTTCAGGCTTCTTTATCGGGAACGCAGCCGTATATGGCTTTAAGTGGATTGAGGCCACTCGAATAAGCCTGATCGAACGTAATAATTTCCCCGTTTCCATTTCACCCACTCGGTGAATCACTCGGTTCGTAGACACTGTGACATCGAAAGCGGACAATCGACTTACATCGACACGAAACGTGAATAAGTGATTAATGTTTTCGCTCGAATCCGTTCAATGATTTTTGTTTTTTTTTTTTTTTGCCCATTTACGTTACAGCCGAAAGGAAAACATCGTTGGGAAAGGATTGGCATGGATCGTGTTTACGTTGCGAAAAATGTAACAAAACCTTGACACCAGGCAGCCATTCGGAACACGAAGGAAAACCTTATTGTAATCATCCGTGCTACGCCGCTCTGTTCGGGCCAGGAGGTGAGTTGTAAATGAAGATTTCGAGAGAACGTTTTCGTTTAAGTATCGATAACCTTCTATTTGCGTTTATTTATTATTCTTAAAGGCTTATTTCTAAACCTTTGAATTTCGTCGAACTTTTGTTTTGTTTTGAACGTTTCTATTTGTATTGTAGAGTATTGTATCTCTCGTTATACAGAGGATAAATATTTCATTCAAATATTGAGAAATATTCCATTTCAAATATTTCCTCGGCTTTCTTTTTATATTTTATTATATTTATATTGTATATTTTATGTATTTATATTATTTGGATTTTAAATTATTTTTTAGTGATGATTCTTCAGATTACCTGAAAATTCGTACGATATTTTATAATTTATTATTTAATTAATATTTAAATGAAATAAAAGTGATTAAAAATTTAAAGGTTAATGTATAATATTTGAAATGGAATTTTCTAATTATGAAAGTTTTATATTACTGTAATTAAAAAAATTTAATGATCGTTAATGAAGAATTTTTTAAATTCTTTTCTTCCTTCTCGCAATCTCGATAGAGTGTAGGTAAACTAAAACATTTATTTTTACGCATTGCAGGTTTCGGCAGAGGCGGTGCAGAGAGTTACGTTTACAAGAAGTGAAAAATCTAAGGAATTTACGGCAATATAATACTTATTTCTAATCGAATCGCGTTACCTGTACCGTAGCAATTAAATTTAATTAACATTAGATAACTAGATTGTCTGAGCGTGAAGTATAATATTTTTGTTTGAATTAAATGTATGGTTGCAAAGGATGAAATACTTAAGATAATTTTTTATAAAATCACGCATAATGTATTTCTATATTAGATATAAATTTGAATAAAAATTTAATGTCAGTTTGAAAATAAATTGTTTTTGCAACGATGGATAATGGAGAAATCTATATCAAGTTGTGTTCGGTTTGTTACCTTATGCAACAGATGCATTATTGAATGCATGCGACATCTTATGGAATTTTGTGTAAGTTCTGTAATATCGAGTTTGAAAAAATCAAGATGTTTTTTACGCCCTCTATGATTTCTCAATTTTTCATATAATTTACTTTTTGCATGAATTTTTTATGTTTTTAATGTTGTTAATAATAACTTTACTCCTTCTCGATAAATGAAAAGATTAAACATTAAACAATAAAAAGATTGAACAAAGTGAAAACTATTTTTTTATCTATTTTGAATTATTTTTATGCTACGTGCTATTTTAATTTTTTTTAATATTTTTGTATTACTTTTTAACTGATATTGTAAAGCTTTATTTCCAACCATTATACTATGCAAGATGTTGATACATTTGTGGAATATCTTTGGAAAAAAATCAATTCAAATTTCAATTATTTATAAGTCAATAATGAATCTTAATCAACATTTTTATATATCAACTTTTATATTTATTTAATTTCTGGAATCGATTAGATACCATAAAGATATCTAGATATCATAAATATATTAACATTCTGTATATAAATACATCTAATTATCAAATTATAATTATTTTATTTTATGAATTGTAAAATAACAAAAATAACAAATATCTTTTAGCACAAGATGATGATGGGAAATAAGATGAAATGAACTTCATATAAACCTCATATTTATTTAAAAAGGATGTACAGAGTTTTGTTTGCAAGTATCAACAGCGAGACTCGGCAAGAGCGGCGCACGAAATAAGAATCATAATATCACACGGGACGAAATGACAGCGAAATGAAGGAGGGGAGAAAAAAAAAAAAAAAAAAAAAAATAAAATAAAATAGAATGATAAAAAGAAATAAAGAACTGTTTGTTGTATTCGAATAAAAAAATTCACGGAGGGCGCAGCATTCAAACTGAAGTCTCGATTTCACAAATATTTTGCTACTAAGGATATATCCACTCCGTTTGAATATTGCGCGGGAAAATGATTCCTCTCGTGATGCATCGGTTTTTCTTTTAGTTTCTCTTCTATTTACGATTCGACGTTAACATATCGTGTGCTTTCCTCTCTTTAAAACTTTTTTTTTTTTTTTTTTTTTTTTTTTTTTTTTTTTTTTT